AAGACATTTTTAGGTCTCATTGAAAACAAAATAAGTGACTCAAGAGTTAGCTTTTCAAACATTGAAGTATGTTTTGTTACACGCATCTCTTCTCAAGAGGTACGATCTTTATTTATTTATCAAGTTGATTATTGATGCGTTAGGTATAATAGTGGAGGGCATACTCCAGCAAAAATAGTGTTGATGTTGACTCCGATAAAGGAGTAACCTCAAGTCATAGCTATTTATAGCTAGGTGTGTCGTTGGCTTTGGATATATATATATATAACCCCAAGGCCAAGACTGAGGAGAGTTGAAGTATTGTGTATTCACTTGTCAATAAATCCTCTCGCGTGTTTCAGCCGTGGACGTAGCCCTTGAGGGTGAACCACGTTATATGAGTGTCTTGTGTAATTCGTACTTGGTTTTAGGTTTTATGTTAAGAAATGATATCAGAGCCTTGTTTCAATTCGGAATGCGTGTTGTAAGGTTGTGTCACTAGACTCAAGATCGACTGACAGATTTTTTATCTCTGACAGTTTTCTGTTAGTGACGGTTTTTCTGTTGGGCAGGTTCAGGGTTTGTAGTTAAGTTGAATATTTAAGCTTTTCTGATAGATTTTTGTTAGCAATGGTTTTCTGGCAAAAGTGACAAAGTTTGTAACACAAATCACATTTTTTGGCAGCTATTTTGTTTCAAACAATTGTGCCTTTATTCTCAGTTCATGACAGAATTTTGACAGTTTTGTTAACAACCTGACAGTTTTGACAAAGAATGTCGCTGTGGGGGAGTTTAATCATTGTATAACCAATGATCTATCACAAGAAGTAGCACCTGTGAATCAAGAACAGTAGGAACATTAGCAAATTATCATTGATGAGCCTATTGCAATAGTTTCAGAAAATAGAGATCAGCCAGAAACGTCTACTAGGAGATCGCATCGTGATAGTAGTGCTCCTGAAAGGTTTGGTGTATGGGCAAATTCATCCATTCTAGAAGATTGTGACTTTGATGTCGAAGATAGAGATGGCATGGCGTTGATTTGGAAGAAGATGAACCTTCTTCATACAGGAAAGCTCAAGCTTTGGTCAACAAGCTTGAGTGGGATGCTGCTATGAAGCGGGAGATGGAATCCCTGATTGACAATAAGACTTGGGAGCTGGTTGAGCCTCTTATGGATCAAATGCTGATTGATTCCAAATGGGTGTACAAACTGAAAGACAATCCAGAAGGAGACGAGGCAAGAATCTTCAAAGCTAGATTGGTGGCTAGAGGTTTCACCCAAGAGAATGGCGTGGATAAGAACAAATTTTTCTCACCGTTAGCTAAGTATGCTACAATTCGTCTGGTATATGCACTGGTTGCGATATTTGATCTTGTTATGGATCAGATGGATGTGGTTACAGCTTTTTTTTATAGATATTTAGAGTAGAAAATCTACATGAGACAAACTGTTGGTTTTGAGGTCAAAGGCAAAGAGAGGTTGGTTTGTAGATTGTTGAAATCATTTGTATGGATTGAAGCAAGCTCCTAGGTAGTGAAACACGCGATTTGATGAGTTCATGAAGGCACAAGGTTTTTTACGGAGCCTGTATGATCCTTGTATCTACATGAAGAAGATAAATGATGATACGTTTCATCATTTTAGTAGTCTACGTTGACGACATGCTCATACTGGCAAAAAGTCAATCCGATGTTGATGAATGCAAGAGTAAGTTGAAGTCTTCATTTAAGATGAAGGATATGGGGGAGTCGAAGAGAATATTAGGCATGAAGATTCATAGGGATCATGAACAGAAGAGATTATGGTTGAGTCAAGGCAAGTATGTCCGTCGTATACTTGACAAGTTCAACATGATCGATTTCAAAGGAGTATGGAGTCCTTTGGCGGCACATTTAAAACTCTTTGCATCTTAATGTCCAATCAATGATGTGGAGAAAGGAAATATGTCATGTGTTTCCTATGAACAAGCCGTAGGCAGCCTCATGTATTTGATGGTGTACACTAGGCCAGACATTACTTTTGCGATGGGCAAGATGAGCAGATTCATGTCAAATCCACAGAAAGTTCATTGGGAAGCAGTGAAATGGATTATAGGATATTTGAAGAGTACTTTTGATTATGGCTTACTGTTTGATAGTCTATTAGACAATGTCAAATCCTTGTTTGGTTACATTGATGCTAACTACGGACAACATCTAGATAAAAGTAGATCCACAACTGGATATGTGTTTACACTTGGCGATGGAAGCATTAGATGGAGGTCTACCTTGCAGAAATGCGTAGCTGAATCAACAACGGAAGCTAAATATGTGGCAGCAACAGAAGCGGCAAAGGAGCTATTTGGTTGGATAGGCTTATCATAAAAATGGAATTGAAGTTGGGCATGGTTAATCTTCATTGTGATAGTCAGAGCGCTTTACATTTGGCTGCGAACCAGATCATGGATAGCAGAGTGAAGCACATCGACATCAGGTATCATTTTATCAGACAAACAGTGTCTGATAAAACGATTGAGCTAGTCAAGATCGACGGTAAATTCAATCCAGCTGATGCGTTGACGAAAGTTATTCCATTGGAGAGTTTCAGGCGACACTGTGCTACTATGCAAGTTGTGCATGGGGAGCACATGTAGAATTTGCTAGCATAGTAACTTTATTTACCACTTTATGTTATTACTCTATCATGTTATGGCTACGGTTTTTAATCATTGAATTTTTAAAACTTTGATTAAATCATGATTTTTGTGAACGATGATTTAATCAAAGTTTTAAAATTCTCATTTCACTAGTTCAATAAAATTGTAGATGATATAATAAGTATATTCATATTAGAAAAGCAAGAAGAGTAAGACATATTTTTAACTCTTATGAAATTTTCATATAACATATTGCTTTCACAAACGTATCTCCTGTTTATTTCATGTATAACGTTCATACTATAAATACTTCAAATTTGATGAAAAAAAAATTGATTATCAATAGTTAACAAATTTTTTGAACATATTCACAAATTGCTACATCAAGCCAAGGAAAAGTTATTGATAGTTTAAAATCAACAAAATTAGCATAATTATACCCATTGTGAAGAGTTGATTTTTTAACTAGAATATCACGTTTGATTATCTACAACAAACTTGTTTTTTTATGAACGCCAAAGTTTAACCAGATGTTCATTGGTATTTTATTTTTTTGAAGAATGTCGATGAAGTGTCATACAAGTTAAAACTTTTGTTGCGTATAAAAACACATCCTTTATTTCATGTGTTGCAATTGCAAAAATATGTACCACAACCGAAATAATTCCCAACCCAACCAGCATCATCTTCTCTATCAACCTTGATAGATTATCGTGAAGAATTTGAAGTAAAAAAAATACTCAATAAACGAATTTAAGATCATAAATATTCTGAAATAGAGTATTTGATTTAATGTAAATTAAATCCATCAAATGAATCAATTTAAAAATCAACTAGATATCTAGTCAATACATCTTTGATAGTTCAAAAATTTGAACAAATTTGCAATGAAGAGGTTACGTTTTAAAAGGAGGTAGATTTGTTATCATCTTTAACTAGTTAAACTAAAGTAGATGTTACTCAAGATGTAGATACAGTTACATTTATAGTCATCACATGACTCAAAAATCCATGTGATTGCAAGGTAGAGAGACTAATGTTTCAAATAGGAGTGACACATCATCAATCTGTGTGTTTATTACATATGGATTGAGTGTGTTAGTTGAAAACAACACGTCAACAATTTGTATGTTTGTAAAATAATAATTGACTAAAATAATTAATGTACTAGTTTGAAACAACACGTAAAAAATTTGTGTACTCATTAGTTATATCTCCATGTCATCAATCCACTAATGTCAACAATTTGTGTACTCGTTAAGTGTATCCGCCATATCATTAATTTACTATTAAATTTGATGATGATTTTTGTGCATGTTTTTAAAAAATCCATATAATGTGTGATTGAATCATTCTATATAACTTTCATCTTCAAAAATTGTGTTTCATCTTCGAATGAGCTACTCAATCAATTAACATGATGTGACGAATGTTTGTAGAACTTTACATATTGAAAGTTGAGATATTGTAACCAACATAGTTTATGATTCTCAGAATGATGCCTTTGAAACCAGCACCTTGTTTTCCATTTGATTTCCTCATTCAATAACTTGATAAAAACTTCAAATCTTCTCTGCCATCCTCTTTTCTCAACCCTCCTTAAGTTGGATCCCCCTCCATTCCCCTCTGTACCTTGCACAACAAACCCATGTATGCATCTATGTGAGATAACTAAGAGTATTACCCCAAACGTGAAGTCATCGCCTATTAGAAGGCTAAAGCTAGTTTGGAGGTTCACATAGAAGGTGATGTAAGGTGGGCTGCAGTTTCGAAGGTCCCTAATTGCAAATGCTCACAAGCATGATATCTCGATTCATGTTGTTCAGTCACTCGTTGCTTCATGAAATTTATAGCTCAACGAATCATTCTTCCATGCACTCAACTAGGAAAGACATTACTCATCGTGACCACTGCAGATATCGTTACGACAATATGAGAGACGTAAGCCACACAAGATCGCACGATCTCAGACTTTTCGGAGAGCAAAGGAAAAAAATCTCTCTCTCTATATATATATATATATAGAATGTGGTTGTTACTGGAATAATGATAGGATACTATATGGGTAAGACTCATCTAGATCTGGTTCTCGAGATGCATTCCTCCCCTAACCACGACTCTGTTGGTATTTAACATCTGTTGGTTCGGTCATCTGCTGATTCAGAACCCTGATGGTGTTCCATACAACATATGTGCGATGGCTGTATCGACCTGTCGATGTCAACAGTGGTATTCCGCCGCACATACGTGCGGTGACGATTCCGGGACTGATTGTAGTCTTGCGCCAAAATGGAAACACGCATTGTCCTATCACACCCCAAAATCCTTGCGAAATATTCGTGGCTGAATTTAAGCATAATGTAAACTGAATTAATTAGTCCAACAATTATGAATATTTCGAGTGGTCGAGGTTCTACAAGAGCGATCCTCAAAAGAGGTCCACTTTCCTTCTAGGTGAGCCTCTAGTAACCCAAACGCAGAAACTGCACTAACTTTTAAAACTGGACCTATTAGGTGCAATCCTGTTGAGCTTTAACGGTACAAGATCGCAGGCCCCACTATACAGACACTAAAAGCAGTACCTGGACGGCGCAAATACGATAATATTCTTGACCATTGTAGAATTTCTGACAAGATCAAGACAGCAAATAAGTTGTTACCTGCTACGGTCTTCCTGGAGGCAATGGTCGGGGCAAATCAGATGTTACAAAGCCGCACTAACATGGTTCTCATGAGAACTGTAATGTGGGCACACTTATGAATTTTGCTGTTGTAATTGGCACAATGTTAAATGACAGCTTGTTCTAAAACGTGCACGACCTTCACGATGACGTCACCCAAATGCTGATGACAAACGCTACCTTATTCCCCAACAAAAGGCATGAAATATGTCATCTTTGCCTTTCTTTGTCTCAACATAAATATTGAGATATACTCGAGTCAAAAGCTATGTACCTAATTAATGCTTCGCGACAACTCATTGACAGTCGTTTCAGGCTTGCAGATTCTTGCTGGGCTGAACGTTCATTCATGAGGATTTTGTCCCATAGAGCGGCCTTCAGAACCTGATCGCACGCACTACGCGTGATTCTTGTTGTTACCCATGGCATTGTGGATTGTATAAGAACGAGTACCTGCGATTTTCCTAAAAGAGCCTGCTGCACAAGTTACCTATGGGATTCTAAAACAAGTTATGAAATACTAATACGGCTTCCAATCTAAGTACGTGATCAAATATTAATCAACATGGACCCCCTATTGTTACTTAGAATGTGCAATGAAATGACAGCCAAGTAGATGAAAACACTTCGCAGATAGTGCCAAATCCCATGAAGACCACTGAGAGACCAAGTATAGTTCCTCTCCAATTTGCATGTACAATGTGGTTACCACATCATGGATTGACACCTCTCCACATCGTAAGAACCTTCAATCCAACCAACTTATATTCAAATTCTAAGCAGCGACAAGGAATGGATGTTGACAAACTCCGCATTCAACAGTCTCGGTGCCGAAGCTTGGAACCTGCACCTGCAAGATTAGAAGCAGAAGTTTAGAAGAAAATAACACATGCTTCATTTATTAGTGAACCCACTCATCCACATATCCGTACTCAATGGTCCGCGATCTCCACTGCCTGTGGTCAAAACTGCAAATGCTTCTGTGGCACAATACTAAAAGCCCACAACAACAATCCCGAAGCTGACTTCGGTAAAGAAAGTATACGTTGTGAATAAATTTCTCGTAACATTTGCTTACCTGAAGATGAACTGTACATGTTGGACAAGCTACCTCCCGCATCCTTGGACCAGGTCCATCAGATGCTGGTGTATTAGTAGCCCAGAGGTGGGGAGGACCATGTGGAGCTGCAGAACCACTAAAACCAGGGCTTCTCCTTGCAGGCGCAGCGCTGCGTGTGCTGGTCTCACAGTTGGAACACCGAGTACTCCTGCCTGTGACTAACGTGATAGAACCGCATTTGCTACAGTTGACAACTGAGGTGCTTTGGCCTGAACTAGCAGCGCCAGAGCTGCTACTTCTGCCCAAGGCTGGCTTTCTCCCTGCATTGTTTCGCTCTAGTTCCTCCTGTGTACCAGAAATATGTTCAGAGGACAGTGCATGGGTTTCACGTCATATTTGAGCCGCGTTTGATTACTAGCCTCAGGAACAAGGCACCGTTTTCGTCATAAAGAATAATCAATCTAGCCAGTGAGGTTAGGTGTATAGGACTGAGGACTTGAGTGAAAAAGATCCAACGGATTCTTAATAATGTGCAAGTGTTCCTGCCAGCATAATCAATACAATACGAACACCAAAACAACAGTTGTACTGTAACCTTCATACCTGTAATTTTTTGGCCAAATCCTCATGAGTCCTTAAAGCGGGAAGCTTGGCGTTGTTTGGTTTTGGGTTCTCCATCCTTTGAGTTATTTCCGCCTAGAGAACCCACATCAACAAAAAGCACAATGGGTGGGTATAAACTTCAATCATTTGTGGAGAAAATTCATCTATTTTCCTGCATATATTCTTATCTAACAAATCATTCTCATAAACTCTGACCACGACGTCAATGCTAAAACTTAGTCAAATAACAACTCCTCTCCAGGAGAAACTCATATACGTCAAACGACTTGTTTGCACAAAAATCACTCAGTACATCTACTGCAACAATTATCTTGTTTGGATCAAACAACAGAAGTTTACCAGACAACGGTCACACACGCGAACAGGTTGAGAATCCTCATCTGTGTTCAAAGCTATCCTTCCGCGTGTACACTTATCACAGAATATCTCACCGCAGTTCCTGCAATGGTGCTGCATTGCCATACAAGTTACCCTCAATTTCTCGATAGTTTGATGTGCAAAACAAGATACTCCCTTGAAGTCAGTCTTTTTTCGGCGTCCACTAGTCAGATAGATCACTCCTTCAAACTCTAGCGGATGGTACAGGTAAGTTCTTGCAGATGCATGTGGAAAGAAGAGGATTAGGTGGTGACTCTACCCGTCGCAAGAAGGCTCCAAAATCTGTATCACAACTTGTACATTTTGTAACCAATTCATCTGGAACCTGCAAAAACAAGAAAACATCTGGCCAAATTTAATAACAGATGGCAGAAGATTTGCAAGACAAATTATCAGTTCAACAGTCAGCACCGTTGTCACCATCTAGCTGTACGAAACATGAAACGCACAATAAAAACTGGTTAGTTCAAAGTGTCAATATGTTTTTATGACACGGTACTCAAAGATCTTCCTTCAAAAGCGACAAAAAATCCAGGCTGGACTCTATGTCAAAAAACATAATCGGAAAGGGACCTAGCATACCCAGTGCTGCTTCTCCTCCGGATTCGCAGCTCGCGGCCGTAAAGCGACCCAGTCTAGGACCGAGCTTTTCTTTGCTGTGTTTGGATCGTTACCTACCGATCCACCACCTGAAGTACCGCTATCGGTTGCTTCATCTTTAACCATTTCATGACGCTGCACAAGTAGAACCAACAGTTGTTTCATGAATCTTAGTGAAATTACTTTTCAGGAGAAAGATTCAGGACTTTAAGAATATGCAAGGCATATTCTTAAAAACACCGGTTTCATTTGAAGCACCAGTTTCGAGGAGAACCTGCACACATGCAGCCGTTAACGTGTCGAGTATTGCCGTCGTTGTATATGTATTTGACTGGAGTTGAATCGTTCGGGGATCGACGTCCACCGAGCTCTTCGCCCAAAATGTGAATACAGATGGCTCCATGACCTGCGTAATTATAAATGTTAAATAAATTGCTGGTTCATATGTAAATGAAAAGTTGCTCGTTAGATGGCAGTTGTGAATCTATGGAATCTGTCACCCAAAGAACATCACAGATACTATCAACTCCTTGCATTGGTCAAGTCGAATGAGATCAATTTTTAGGTATCAACAAAGTGGGAACGTACATGCCGTTCAGTCATGTACGACATGTATATGTAATGTAGTAACTTACCTCCCATCTGGTGATGGTGACTAGTGGATATATTCGAAGTGTTCTGTTTGTACTGGGATCAACCATTCTGACACCATCAAGTCCAATCTGTAAAAAATCATAGAGTATCCGTTAGCTCAAACTTGACCTTATGGCACAACACCATCCGAAGAGATTCAATTTCCAATCTCTCTTCCTTACCAGAGTTCAATATCACTACAAGTTATTTTCTTCATCTGGAATCAGAAACGGCGGACTGCAGCTCACCATACAATGCATACTGCAATTAGAGAGCCTAAGTGTTCTAAGTCACATGAAATAATCTTACATAAAGTCTATCATCACTTCACTAATTATTACTTTTAATCTTTTGTTACTTTGCAACTGAAGAACCCTGCCCGAACGACTGAGAAACCCTCAACTGATGAGAGAGAAATGACGATCACAAAAATCAGAAAGTATGCAAATACTTTGACCCTGGGACAACCAATGGTTGTTTGTCAATTCTGTAGGATCTTAGACCCTAGAAACTATGAAAACCAGCTGGGAACATCGAGCACAATCTAGACACAGAAACCTTCAGCTTCAAAAAAAGGCAAAACAATGGGAGAAACTTAGAATAATAAATAGTGGTAATGACCTGAGAGAGCATTTCATTATGCTACCACATTGCCCTTGATGTAATTCAGTATAAAGCTTACATTAAACAGATGCTGCCTAACAATCGTAGATTGGATCTCATTATTTCCCAAAATTCTTCATGCCAAAAAAATCCATTACAACTAACAGACCCGATAGACATGATTTAAAGACGTAAAGAACGACTCCTGCATTAATTATTGACGCTTCACGAGCCTGTGCATGCCTGTGTGCCGATGAGCTCAAGTATCAGCAGAACGAAACCAGGCAGGGCACTATGTGTGATTCACAAATTGAACCTGTTGAAAGACAGACTTAAGGAAATCCTGTGTAAATAGCTTTGACAAATTCGAAACCGAAATTGAGCACATGTTGTTTAACTACAACTACAACAGAAATCTACATTTCAGGTTTGAAGGTGAATTCAACTTAATTTGTGCTTCTCATTCAGATTCCCACAAGTCGCATGGAATTTGCACTACCTCGATATATCCATCCGTCCAAAATTAAAACATTCATTTAACCAAATTTCACTGTTTCAAAATGAATCCAAGAAATAGATACCTGGCATATGACATCCTTCACAGAGTCTGACGACCTGGTTTCGGGTAGCAGCTTCACACGAAACTTCTGTATACCTCCTGAATCCGAATCCTCATCTGACTTGGGAGCAGCCCGTGCTACATTGTAGGGCTTTGAAGACGAGAATTCGTTTTGAAAATTGTAGCTGGAACCACTCGATGACCATGAGTCTCCACCAGAACCTCGAGCTCCGTAAGGCTCAACGCCTCCTCCATCATATGCATACACGGCTCGGAACCCTCCATTATCATAACTTCTATCGCTTCCACCTCCATTGCTAGGGTGCACTGATTCAGATCGACCATAGCCTGTGGGATGTCCATACATATCAAATCGCCCACTATCTCCATCACCACTCTGAGAGTAGCCTCCCAGTCCTTGGTTACTATAGCTTTCATATCCAGCAGGAGGCCCTACCGGCTGCGGTGCTGCTCCAAAACTTGCATTCCCGTAATTCGAACGTTGTGAGGGAGCAGAAGAATCGAACGATGTGGAGGTAGGAGCGGATCCTAATCCAAATTCAAAAGATCTATCATAAGCAGGAACCACCGCTGGGTATGACGGCACTGCTGGCGCATAGGAGGGTGGGTATGAATTGCTGTAAGACGGTTGATTGTTAGAAGCGTCCGGATTGGGCATAGAAGGGACATATGAATTAGAAGGAGAATTGTAAGATTGATTGTACTCCGGAGCAAATTGAGAATTGTAAGCTCCAGAAGCAGGAGAAGAATTGCTAGAAGGGACGGGCTGATGATAAGCTGGTGCAGCAGGAGGTGCAGCCGGGGTATAAGCAGGCGCGGAAGGGGCTGATCCTCCATACGATGTCGTCGAGCTTCCTCCGTAGAGCGAGGGATAATCCGGTGGGATCGGTGGCGCAGGATACACACCGCCTCCGTACCCTCCTTGCATCCTCTCGACCCCTTGCTTCCCTTTCCCTTTCCTTTCCCTTCCCTTCCCTTCTCTTCCCTTCCCTTCTCCTCTCGAGGTTGGATAGAAATCTGTCACAAACACTAGCAGAACTCTTTCCTCCTCTCCCTGATTGATGACGGCCTAAACTCCTCCCCTTTCCTTGCCTCTGCTCCTCTCGGCAGATATCTCTTTCTTCCTTCCTATCTGGCTAATGAACCTCCTCTCGGATCGTTTCAACAGACAAATAGCTCAATCTGTCAACTCCTCTTCTCCTCTCTTCCCTCCCTCTCCCTTTCCCTATCCCTCCCTCCGCGAAAATGATCCAATACCCTGAGCACCACTCTTCTCCTACTGCCTGGATTAAAGTCGCACCCCAATTGCTGCAACTTGACTCGACTCCACTTTCAACTCGCCGTCTGCCAGAGCACCTCTTTCGTCGATGGCCTCCTCCTCCTCCTCCTGCTGCTGCCTACGTCTCCTCTACCGCCATCTGACTAATTTCTTCTCGGTCGGTCTGTCGATCGTCTCCGAAGACATGGAATCCCCCAGATCCTTCTTCCTTCCTCGTTCTCGGACTCTCACCACTTTCCGTTCTTCGTGGAGGAACGACACATTTAATGGCAGACACGCTTTCCCCTCCGTTCCTACGTCGCCTGCACACGTGGCTTGACCGCGATTTTCCTTTCTTGTTCTTGCATCCACCTCACCCCTTTGCATCTTTCGTTCCTTGTCCTTCCTCCAAGATATCTCCCCTCTTTCAAACCGGTGCGGCGTGTGGCTCTTGTTCTAGTTTCCTCCTCCTCCTCGCTTTTTCATATTTCTTTGCTCATAGAGAGAACGATGGGCAAGATGCAAATTGATTTCAAGCATGTTGACCAATTTTACAAATCGATTGACGGATCCACACAAAACTTACTTCAGAAAAAAACCCTCATGTGGGAGCTTCAAAAACCAAGAAATAGATTAAATACAATCTGATTTCTTTCCGTACAATCACAACTTTTGAAGCTGAAATGTGCATGCCGGTAGATTTTGCTGCAAAATTACATCTGCTCAAAGTCCAAATTCTCCTCCGGACTTCTGGTGGATGATGTGATACTCCTCCAGCGAAGAAATTATTTACAAGTCTTGAGTTCACCTTTCCATTCCATGTTATAGCCATTTTTTTGCTTAATCTTAGATAGTAGCCACTCAGCTCTATCTCCACTTTTGGAAAACTGAATAGAACTAGTCTATAAGTCATGTTTAAATTCTTGGAAAATTTCTACAAAATGTATTATCAAATAGAATCGAGACTTTGATGTACTGCAGATGAGTGGTTTTCTTCAAAACAAAAAGGACAAACTACATACGGTAGCGTCATAGAAGCTGAGTATTATTATAGCTTATTCTCTTGTATTTAAGGACACCAACTGACCAATGCTAATGGAGACACACCAATGAGATATCTTTGTCACATAACAAAAAGCAGTGACTGGAGTGACTATAGAAACCGTTCGGTCTCAAATAAAGGACATAACCAGATGGATGTGAACACAACATAAAAGTCGCATCACAATCTTTGTGTAGACAAACTTTGTACATCAAGAGGAACATCTCAAAATGATTTATTCGTGAGTTTCCACTGAGATTGTCATTAGTGTACAGAAGTATATTCAGAGCATCAAGTCTCGGGCTTGAATGAATATGCAATTTTTTCTCTCATTATGACGATTTATGGGCAGAAGTGTACCGGTTGGTAACACTTTATGACTCAACCTTACCGTCGTTCGGTTTCAAAAATTGTGTTAGTCAAGTTGCCAAGTTGACTTTATGAAGCTACTATTTTTTCAAAATAAGTGGTAAAGCACGTACCCAACCATATGCTTAAATACTATTTTCGTGATCTGGTCCATTTTTTAAAATAGTACTCTTTCCAGCAAGTATGTAGTTTTTAGTTTTCAATATTATTATGCATTCTCGTATTACAGAAGAATCTGAATCTTGGTTGAGGTTTGACACAATCATACCAAAAAAATGTAGGTAACCTGTAACTCCAGAATATAAACAGATGCCACATATTTAATTCCAGGTTCCAGTACAATTTTGATAAGGAGAGAAAGTAAGCTTCAGTTTTCAGTAAACAGCATTGTGCAAAAGAAATTATGTCATACAATCAGATCATGTCACATGCTCTGATGGATTTAGGCACTTCGGAATCAGTTCAGATATTTTACTAATTTTAGGTTCACTGTAATCTCTCTACTTCACATATGTTGGAAAAAACGAAGATAATCTTATTTTTTTAGTATACGCTGCAGTAGTATGGTCATTAGATTTGTGAAGAGATGAAAAAACCAATCCTAGGTTTAGGAGGTTTGATATGAGATCTTATGTTTAAGTCAGTTGTCATTGTTTGCCATGTTCTCTTTTTTAAAAATGATTATGCACAAGATGATGATATTCTCATAAAAGTATGTTAAAGATATTTAAACGTTATCACTTCATTAAATCAGAGTACTTATCACTATTATTCATTATGTAACCCATCTTTCACTTTGAAAAATTTCCCCTACATCAAGACAACTTTATCTCTAGTTTTTCCAACTTATGATGATTTTCACATCATTACTTTGACATAATAGATAGAGAGAATACATTATGGCCAAAATATATCTGAGCTTCAAAATGTGTAGATGTTCTTGCAAGTTAGTTTCCATTTATAGCTCACTATGAAGCATCTCAACTTCAAAATCAGTACCAAAGCTTGTATCAAAATTTCATCTTAGAAACAATCTGCTGTAATGATTTTATCAAACTAGCAACATTCATTTTGCAATATATGTAGCTTTAAAATTAGTCATGAAGACTAAGATTTCTATGACTTCGCATGCTATATATGCTTAGAAGATCATTTTAATAATTTTGTACAAACTTGAAAATCATGATTATAAAATTATCATTATTTAATCAATCAAAATTTTTACAATTATATAAAAAATTTGAAATGAATAATTAAAATCAATAAATTGAAAAAAAAGACATATGAATCTTTGATTACAATTTTTTATCTTTCACATTTTATAAATTTATATCTTAAAGAAAAATATATTAATGATTTGATATTGAATTGATCAATATAATTTAATAGCAGTCACTAGCATTGGAAACATAATTTGGATAAAAGTATGTAAAAAAATCAATCCTAATTCTTAGTGAATTTAGCTATATCAAGTATATATAATTACACTGTATATGTATTCATCCATTCATTCGATCAAATTTTTTTAGTAGTGGTATCTAATGTTAAGATTATTTCAATCTAAAGGTTAAATTTTCAACTTGATATTAATAAGTTAACAGTTAAAGAAAATATTTTAATTATTAAATGAAAGAAAGCTTCAAATCCATCACAAAATTTTTATATAAACCTTATATCAAGATTGTACTAGTGATTTTATCCAAATTATTGAATCACATCCAACTTGAAGTATATAGAGTTGTCATTTTATGGATAAGCATGTATTGTTAAGTAATGAGAACTAAGCTCAACATTTCCCAAAAAATTTGCAGTTCATTGTCATCACATTAAAACGTTGTATACCGTTACAACCAATTTGAGATTCAATATATAATATTTTTTTATTGCTTGAAAATCACAATAGGCAATTTTCCCAAATCTCAACATCAAATATTTTATCATCAATATTCATCTATACTTTATTTCATTTTAAACTTTCCAATACGCTTCAATCTCCAATTGATTAATAGTAGTTCAAATTATACATTATATTTTATTTTAGTCTTAAGAAGATGTACACTAGGAGTGAATAGAGCTGAAACAAGAATTCAAAAAACCATGAGTAAAACAAATATAAAGAAAGAAATCACATCTGAAGATCAATGGTCATATACAAGTTACTGTAAAAATTCATGAGAACTAGAAAACAAAATGGTTGGAAAACAATTATTTTTATGCATACATTGTTGGAGAGCGAGAATAAATTTTCCAATGCTAGTTGCAGAGGATGTAAAAGCGTGTTTACGGTAAAGTTATTCTCACAATGTAGTTGAACTATGGTTGCAAAGACCTTGTAAATGATGGAGAGTGCACTAATTCCAAACGTAGTTTATGTTGATGGGGTCTTCTAACATTCATACCTCAATGAGTGTGCAGTATATTACACTGTTAACTTTTTGCTGATTAAGTAATCACTTGAAGATTTGAGTTCTTGGTATGGAATTGCAAGATCAACTTACGGCTGATGACATCGGCGAAACTTTCTGTTGTTCCTGCCTTCAGTTTTCTTGCACACCAAATACTCAAAAGAGCAATTTCCCAAAAAATTATATATATTCTTCTTGCAAAGGTCTTCGTCCGAGGAGGAAATTAGTTCAATAGATTATCAAATTATTGATAATCTACAAATTATCTGTAAGTCAGACTCCGCCCGATTGACACCAACATATTGGACAGTTGTGTAACTTGTGTTGGCTCTTCTGCACGGCACGCACAACTTCTGTAACGGAATGTTCATGGAAACGTAACGGACGTCCGTAGGCCTCCGCTTTCACCGATCTCCTGACACATCCTTGGGCCCAGTTTGGCGCCCGACACGTGGACGAAGTCGGTCATCGGACGGCTACTGTCGTCCGCCTTTCTCTCGTTCACACGAATGTTTCATGCCTCGACGATAGCGATGGCGCCAATGTGGCAGCGCTAGCGTCGAAATGCGTCGCTTCTGAAATCGGCTGCGAGAGCTGCCGACAAGCAATCCGATGTGCAAGAAAAGAGAGCTCCGGATGGGCTCGGCACTCCATTTATTACCTCGACAGAAATACGACAAATTGGGCTCTGCGCTGGTTGGCCCAGAGCTTCGTGCACTCTGTCCAACCTTGACGTGGAATGGTCCTTTCTGAAAGGTGTGTCTGTCGATGGAGAAATTTGGTTAGCTTCTGACAGTTGTCTACATCATTCTGCATTCTTCGTTCACTCACTTGACTTGGGCTTCTCTGCTGGGAATGTGGCCCGATTATGAGAGTGAGCTTTCGTTGGTGCCTGCCAGTAGCCGTCGGGATGGTGACGTTGTGGAGGGTCGTGGTGATTTTGCTCGTCGCAGCTGCGAATTTGGAGGTTGAGGTGTGGGGTTTTCGGCCGAAGACGGTGCAACCGCTCTACAGATCAACTGGAAAGTGGAAGGCTCGGCATGCTCACAGAGTTGAGAAGGATCAGACTTGGATTTGGCCTCTGCCCGCTGAGTGGTCCAAGGGCGAGTCCACTTTGCTTGTGGACTCGCAGCTGGAGCTCGTCGTGCGAGGAGCGCTGAACCAGTCGCATGTGCTGGAGGAGTCGTTTGAACGCTACATTGCGCATATATTTGTGCACCTGACAGAGAAAGACGTCGTGTCGAAGATCAAGAGGCGTAAGTGGGGGGGCGAGACTTTGCAGAAATTGGTCGTCAATGTGGTGTCTGACGACGAAACGGTGAATTCCTCATCAATTCTAGTCGTCACGTGCAAATGTCGTTTTTGTATGACTCACAAATGAATGTTTCATGCTTTTCGAGCAAGTGAATCACCGGATAGAATGTTGAACAGCTTTGAACTACCACGTACTCTTCATATCTTCACGGCGAATAAGTCGGTGCTTTGCCCACTGAAAGGGCAAGGCACCGTCAATGTTATTCAGCTGATATACCCAACCCTGCGTCATTGGTTTATCCAGTGTCTGATATTCTACTCATAGTCTCCGTAGACTGGAAGACTGATTCTCTTGTGGACTCTTCCAGCGTATCCACGTCTCTGAATCACATTAGCTTCTTGTGGAACCATTAGATATACCATTAGGCAGTGCAGATTTCATGTATGTCAGTACTTCGAGGTTGTCCCCTCTGTACCTTTCATCGTGTAGATTGTAATCGCATGTTACCCTATGTTGTTCTCTTCATGATCCGTGGAAGCACAATGAAGAGAGAAACTAATGTTTTGCTCCTTGGTTTGATGTCGTGCTATACAGCTCCAGTTAGGTACAGATGAGAGCTATACGCTACAAGTGCCAGCTGAAGGAAAGACTTCAGAGGCGTACCTGGAGGTGGTTCTCTATCCATAATGTCAAAGTGGATTGCCAGTACACTGCAGCATTCTTGTCCTACTCTCATCTCCTTCTATATCGTTTTTCTCTCTTCATAAATGCTTTTCATGACAGTAGGTTACATGTGTACCTGAAAACCTTTGTTACTTTCTACAGTAAAAGTCCTCTGGGTTTTGAAGGGATCAATAATCTGCTTTGAGCTACAGATAGAAGGGTTTCAACCATAAAGACGGTTTTAGTAGATGGTTAGTCAAGCTCACTGTTTGTCACCCTGTCTCGCTAAGCTCATACGTTGTTTTCCGGCACTCAACAATCCGTACTCATTACAGTTGACAAGGGTTCGTCAAATTGACAAGAAATCGAGTGTATTATTTTCTGCAGGCTGCAACGGTATATGGGGCGTTGCGGGGCCTGGAGGTACACATTTTCATTAATATCACTTCCTTTAGTAGAGCCATGTGATTTAAATTCTTGCTGCTCAGCCAATTTTGACATGACACCCCGAGTAATCTCACAGTTCCATTCTTTTTGACAGTTTCTTGAATGTGCTAATACAAGGGAGACTACCTCTCTCCATTTGTTTTGGCCCTCGGGCTTTGTTGGCCTCAGCTTTGTATGTCGTCGATGGTTTCCGTTAGTGTTTTTGATTTCCTGCGTCCCCCATTTTTCAGTGTATGGTCTTTTTTTTCTCTATGTTCTTATGTGCTACAGCGTTCTGTGCACTACGCGTCATCTCGTTTTCATGTAGAAGCTTACTGCATTCTTCGATTGGTCGATACATTGGGGTAGACAACTAAGATATTATATGGTGCCAGACATTTAGTCAACTGTGCCGCTTCAACTTCTCGATCAAAGCTGTCCAAATAGCTGAAACACCATGGAACGTGAAAGATTCACCAAGATTCCAGTTTCGCGGACTGTTAATAGGTATGAATCAACTCATAAATAGCTATATTCCTACTAGTGAAGATGTCAGCTCCGTAGTTTAGTCCCATGTATACGGTGGTTGGGAGTTTTGTTTGAAGTTGGCTTGCAACTGATAATAGTGAAAAGATTAAATTGAGCAAACGTTCTTTAGTTCGTTACGTTTTCTTCCTAAATCTTACGAATGTGCAAAACGAGTTATAAACTTGGTTGTCAGTCAACATGTATTGTGCTTTCATTTTTCAACTGTGAAGAAGACGTTTATCATTATCCAAGAAACTACTAATGGCGTCCCTTAAACTGCGCAGATACCTCACGACATTATCTACCTGTGGAGACGATTAAAAAAATCATTGATTCGATGGCCTTTGCCAAGCTAGTGAGTCCTATATGATTAACTGGTCTAAAAGTAGTTTGATACGGCGCCTTCATACTTTTCCAATATGCCCTCTCTGATGTCTATTTCTATATCGCTCGCAGAGTACAGCACTCTTTTTTTTAAGTCTGTTTTGAGTCTACGAACTTGCATTCAAGAACCTAACTTAAGTTTCACTTCTGGTTGCCTTGTAGAATGTGCTCCATTGGCACATTGTGGATACCCAGTCTTTCCCTTTGGAAATCCCCTCATATCCGGACTTGTGGAAGGGTGCATATTCGAAGGCAGAACGCTATACTATGGATGATGCCCGAAACATTGTCGAGTAAGACCCATATCATTTGCAGGAATCGTTGTTCACTTCGAAGTAAACGAGTATACTCATACTCGAACAGAAACACTTGTTGTGTCTGCTGTCCGTATGTATCCTCTTGTAACAATAACTTTGAATTTGAGATATTGTATTTAATACTGCGCTTGGACCTTCCTAGTGCATGCACTTACATCAAATTCCTATCATTTGTGCAGGTATGCGCGAAGAAGAGGTAATGGACGGTGCTGTTCTCAACTTTAGCGGTTGGTCTAGACTAGAGGTTTCAAGACTTTGTTGGCCTAACTATTCGTCAAGCTGTTAACAGTGGTTTCAGGCGACTTGTTATCTTATCAACTAACTTGTAAGTTCGGTGGAGAAATGCAACGATACTTAATAAGAAGAATGTATATAGATTCCTGCTTGTGGAAGAGAGTCAGTGCAATCTGCCTCCCGTTAACTGTTTCTTCCTATGTCCGTGAGGCTCTTTGTGATCGAATTCGGTTTTAGCAGGTATAAATATTATGCCAGAGCTGGATAGTCCTGGGCATGCTGCATCTTGGTATGGCCTATGTTCCACCCATTTCTGCTTTCTTCTCTTGCACTAAAGTCACATGTATTTATTTGCTCCTGCAAGAATCTTGTTTCTGATATTTTAGTCAGTACGGATGCAGTAGTCTTGACATTTCATTCATTGTTTGCTCTTGGATCTAGTTCAAGAGACCATTTATCTGGCTCAAAGACCTTTGTCGTGTGATGCAGGGGTGTTGGATATCCTAAGCTCTGGCCATCCCGAGATTGTCAACAGCCTCTTGACATCAGTTCTAAGTTGACATTTGAGGTCATTGCTGGGATCTTAGCAGGTAATGGCTCCAAAACCTACCGACAATGCTTTGTTCGGGATTCTCTGGTCCCGAGAGGTAATGAATTGCGCATGTGACAGCAGTCGCTCGTTGCCTGTAATCTCTGACTGAAGACCTTCAGCCGTGTGTTTGACCTTCATTGATCCTTCATCCTCTTTCTATAAGACGAGTCATTTCGACTGTTGTTTTCTTGTGAAGTAAGGAGATTTTAAGAATTTTTTATGTCATACATTTTCAGCAAATGGGGATTATTGAAGCGAGGTTTTTTAGAGTCACGTAGGGCTAGATATCATTTGTGTTAGATTCACCTGGATCTTCACGCGTGAACCCATCTCTGAAGTGACAGTACTATATGACTGCCCTAAATATCGTGCTTTGGCTTTTCAGATTTTCGGAACGTCTTTCCCTTTAAGCTCATGCACCTTGGAGGAGACGAAGTTGACACATGTATGTCATCCTCAACCCAACAAGCTCGACGAGTGCCTATGCATGTACCAAAGTTGTACGGAAAAGCGAATAGAATCCATAGCGTTACTTCAGATGAATTCCCAGCTATCTCGTACGCTGCTAAATATCAATGTGGTTTGCTTCCAAATAGATGTCACCTTCCACCAAGTACGTTCCTCTCCTTTAATTAGCTCTTGGTCATGCCTCTTGTATGACCAAGACGGACATCGATCGATCCATATACTGAAACCCTACTATTTCTATGCAGCTTGCTGGAACAACACTCCTCACGTTAACGACTGGTGAGCGTCGTGTAAATACTGCGTCTTCGGTGTTCTGATTGACTCTTGCTTCCAGTCACTCTCTCTTGGTAGTTTTTTGATATGAATGAACACCTCGTTGCTATCATCATAGGATCTCTTTTCTAAACAATTTGTCAGATTTCGTATTGGGTGATTTAGTTTTCAGCTGCCTTCGAAAGTGAGAATCGAGGTAACCTTCTGCATCGTCCGAGCCGCTCTGTCTCAAGGCAGGTTCAGAATTGGGATCCTTTATTTGGAGGGCAGAATAACCAAAAGGCTTGAGGGCCATCAGGCGTCTAGATTGTAGTCCCTTTTATCCTCCTTTTTTGCCACCTCAGAGAATGTCAAGCGTTGTTAACGAATGAGCATTCTGCAGGCTTGAGAAGAGGAATTTATCAGCTCATGATGGGTACGCGTCCTTCGTACTGGAAGTGCAGAAACTGGCAATTGCGCTGGATTGGGCTCCCGTCAACTGGTGAGGCATTATCAAAGTTTTAAGTGACGGTCAGTGAAGGAGTGCACAAGTCAGATTCTTACTCAGGTTTTCTCGTCGACTTGCTTACTCAGGGAAGAACCATTCAACGAATTTGGCAATCTGCTGCATCCAGACACAGTTGTGCACGAATGGTATGTTATTTTCCAATTATTTGTCTTATTTGTATATGTACTAGGATATCAGCAGTAACTTGTAGATTTTGAGGTTTTTGTACACCGACTCATTTATTACGTTAATTATATTTATAAAATGAAGTCGGTGTTTTCGTTTTGCTCATAAGTCCTGCTCCATCTGAAGAGGACTTACTATGAGAAGTTTTGATTTCTTTACGCAGGCTATCAAATGATTTGGTGCCAAAAATCATCGCCACAGGAAGGCAATGCATCGTTAGCAACCAAGATGTGTGGTATCTGGACCACCTTGACGTTCCTTGGGAGTTGTTTTACCTCAACGAACCGCTGACTGACTTGAACAGCGCGGAGCAGCAAAGGCTTGTAATTGGTGGGGAAGTGTGCATGTGGGGAGAAACAGCCGATCCATCGGATATTGAGGCAACCATCTGGCCACGTGCTGCCGCCGCTGCAGGTAAACCAAATTCAACCGCAGGATGCTTATGATTATGCTTCGCTCGCATGTCACGTGAGATCTGAAATTGAGTATAACCTTCTGAAGTGTTTTATGTGCTTTACAGAGCGCTTGTGGAGTCCAGTGCATTCAGCCAATTCGACAGCCACTGCCAGGGCACGATTATCACGGTTCAGATGTTTATTGAATGAACGTGGCGTTGGTGCCGGTCCTGTGCGGAACTATTACGCGCGAGAAGGACCGTATGAGCCTGGCTCATGTTATGATCAATAAATCTGTCAGGTGTAAAACACACCCGGTGACAGAATAGAACACATCCATTGTTCACTTCAGAGCAGATGACAACTGCCATTTGATTGGATGTATGATCGACGTGGATATATGTACATATGTAATAATAGTATAATGCAAACACTCAGGAAGTAGTGAAACATATTGTGATGGTACAGAAATAAAATCAAGATTTTGTCGATTTTTCATCATCATGGTCATTTGGCATGTCAGATGTGTCAAATAAGATCAGGCGTTGGTACCAGATTAAGGATAATGTATTTGCTACATGTCAAGAATTGACGGATGAGAGTTTCTACAATTCCTCTCCGCACGCAAATGAACTTGCAAATGCGGATCAGCTGTATGTGAGTGTGTATTGACGACTAGCTGTACTTCATAGTCGTGGTTAGCACCTAGCTAGCTGGCAGCTAAATCTAAGTTTCAAATGTCAACTGGTGAAGAAAACGAGAAGTGTTTTCCGCTCCCTTCAAGCACGCAGCAACTTGCTTGCATATCTGCTGGGTACAGATCTGTACAGTACAATTTTTTGCAGGCTTCCTCTCGTGGACTACGCTGCCCTCGTATGATTCTAAGGAAGAAGTCACGAAGGAAAACACTTTCTCCGAAAACATAGGGTAGTGTCAGGAATCATCCTCGGCTCTTTTAACTAGTGAGTGGTAGACTCGTTCAAAAGCAGGCTTGACAAGAGCTGCCAGCGTGTGGTCAGCCATCTACACGGTCCCTCGACGAAACGAGACGCGCTGTGGCACATTCATTATTCAGGTGAATATGAGAAGTGCGAAAGGGTCGAGCTGCAAGGTGATTGAAGTCGACTTCGGATGCGACTGGATCTCCTGACAGGGGTTAACTTCACTTCCTCCTTTTCGGTGCCCTGTGACAGCACCAAAGAAAGCTCAGTCCACCGCATTGCATTGTCTGCAAAATACAACGGAGCAAGCAAGCACAAAGAGATGCAATTGGCTTTCTGTTCGGATAGAGGATGGCCCGTGAGACTTACCTCGTTGTGGATGACGGGCACTAAAGCTGTGAACCGACCGAGGGCTGAGTCCTCCAAAACTTCAACTTCCGGAGTCATGAACGAGTCCTTGTCGCTGACTTGCTTGAATGACCTCTCTGGACTCATAAACGAGTTTCTGTCCTTGGCTGACGTGCTGCTCGCCTTCTCGACGAATAGATGCGGAGTCGAGAATTGCTCGATGTATTCAGACGACAATTGTGTAGGCAATGGCGAGTCCGCCGGCATGTAGTTAGTTCCCGCATCTACAGGATGAGGGTCGCTCATCGTATTGAATGTCCGCTGAGTAGTTCTTGGCAGCTTCCCTCTCGATATCTGACCAGTGTTGGAAGCGATGGAACGTTGTTTGATTTGAGCAACTTCTCGCGTCCTGCGCATCAAAAGTGATGTGTATTTTCGACCCGGCCCCGTGAATATGATAGCTATGACCGTAGCTAAAATTACGGAGGTGACGGCTGCAGCTAAAACTGCGGGGTTCATGGCAAGCCTGAAGCTTGGAACCACAGACGAGCTTGAAAGCTTTGGCTCACCATCGACAAGCATCGTGGGTTCGGGGGCTGATTCTTGAGACCTCGTGTCCTGGGGATCCACAGAGTCTTTAGGAGAAGGCAAGCCTGAATCTTGCTTTTCTCCGAGTGAAGCTTCTTGCGGAAGATGTTCAGACGCGTGCTGGCTCAGATCAGCATGTGAGGTCTCTACTTGGTCGAAGGAAGCTATCATGTCCGCTCCACTTTCATTTGAGCTCAGCGAGGTCAGAGCAGCTTCATCAAGCTCGTCGACCTGGTTTTCGATGCCTTCAATTTGACTGCCAGATGATGCTGCGCTTCCTTCTTGACCCAGAATCACCGTCGTCAGCTCGGCTCCCTCGAGAGTGTTTTCTTGGTCAAGACTCTCAAGAAGTACCTGTTCTCCAGCCTCACCGGAACCCGCCTCCTCGTCCGGCTCTTGTGTGAACTGGATATTTGGAGACTCCGACTCCGACTCCAGAGAAGGGACATCTGATACCAAATCCGCCAAATGAACTTCTGGCCTCGGAGATTTGCTCTCGGAGATGATGGACTTCACGACGTCAAGATCACTCTCGAGAGAATTTTCGCTGATCAGTTCCTCGATGCTCTTGGCGCCTCGAGTGTCAATGTAGGACTGGAATATGGATTTAATCTCCCAAGAGTCGACTTTCGCCATGATGGCTTTGTAACCCTCGGCCCAGTCAAACACATCCTTCGCCACGACGAAGTCGTAGTCAGGAACCCAGTCCCACTCATCCACGTCTGGAGCTCGGGAGATATACGACTCTGCGCAATCCATCACCCACTTCTTGACATTGGAGGATGTTCGAAGAACGGATGAAGCGACCGGTGCAGTGTACGATGTTGAGACGGCATACAGGTGCATGGCTGCGTTTGAGGCATCCTGCGCATCGAAGGAAGTGACAGCTTTAGCAACCTCTTGCAGGTTGACTCGGAGGCCTTCCATGTAAGGTTGATTCACTGGATAGTCCAGTACCCCAGACCCGTCCTTCCACAAACCTTCGACGGATTGGAGAAATTTCCGAACTGGTGCAAGTTGTTCACTCGTTCGCCAGAAACCTGAAAGCTCATTGTGATGAAGAGACTCGGGAAGCATTCCAGGACTTCCTGAGGCAGCAAGAACTAACAGAATAAGTCCGATGACGGTGATGAGAGAGATTGATGTTTTGAAAACACGAGAGGCCAAACTTATCGGATGCTCGGTGTCAAGAATCTCAGTTTCTTCTGCATCCACATCTTCCTCGGCTTCCGGCACAGCATTTTCACTCTCTGCACAGTCTGCGTGGGAGGAATCATGTGCACAACTTTCTCCGATCTCAAACGTCAAGTTGCTGAGCTCCGAAACGGAATGTGCAGACTTCGCTTCACATTCTGCAGAGATTCCTTCATCAAGCTCCAGCTGACGCTCTTCTGTCTTGCATTTCACGATATCTGTTTCGGCATCCTGGGTAGACGGTTCCAGGACATCGGAAGCCACTGAGGGCAGCAGCTCCTCGGACTGGATTTCCTGGGACTCGTTTGTGCCTTTCTCGGACTCTACCCTCACGGAATCCGCATCTGTAGCGGGTGAATCCAAGTCGAGGTCCAGCAATGCGTCTGCGCTTCGGCGCAGAAGCTCAAGCCGTCTCAGAGGTCGGTATCGGAGATATTGTGGCCTGGGGGAGAGGAAATTGTTCTTCGGATCGTAGCTTGTTGGAGTGGTGGACTTCTCCAATGTCGGTATGGGAGATTGGTCGTGTGTCAAACTCCCGTCTTCTTCCGCTTCCATTGGAGCAGGCGAAGGGCTTCTAGTCCTGGCCCGAAGAAATTCTGGGCGTGGTGAGTAAGGCGAAAACACCGGATGGTAGGAAGTGACGACATCTTCGACACCGGGCTCGGGGCTCTCGCCACAGACGACACCTGAGAACCGTCTGATGCTCTCCGTGCACTGGACTGGGGACACGGGAGCATCCAGAGGAGAACCTTCCGTCTGCAAGAACCTTTGAATTCTCTTCTGTAGTTCCTCAATGGAAACCATGGGAGCGTGATGATGCTCATCAGACTCATCCGAGCTCGTTTCGGACGATCGTTTCTCGGACTCGACGCGAGACCCGTCGTGACTGCGAGTGGCAGTTTTCTCGACGCGGCTATCTTCCCCTCTCCTCGAAGAACCCAGAGGCTTCGCAGCGGCAGAAGCAGCATCCCTGTTATGTTCAGACAGAATCTTGCGCTTGACAATGGGCTTGGGTGGGGTGGTGAACTGCATAGCAGCCACTCGCGAAGTCTTTCCCGGCGTCGTGCACGTCGGCTTTCCTCCATACTGACCCTTCTCCACATGAACCTTCCACGGCTCTTCCGTCTCAAAGTTCTCTTTCAAGTCTTTCACGATCTTAGTCGATGCGTTATCGACCACAGCACGGGAGGTTCTTCTGTCACCTGATCACACATTTCCACCAAGATACACGGGCTTACTCTAGTGCGCTACAACAACAATGAGACTTCAACAATCCGATGTCCAGCTTGACTCTGACACAAGCAGCCCATGCACAACATACATTCCACTCGTTGAACTGGCCGCTGGGAAAAACCATTCCCTCCGATCATACATCGAGCGCAGAAGTACTTCGAGACCCGCAGTGCATTCGCGCTGGCTCGCAGAACCCACCAATCACATCAAAGAAAGGAGGAAGGAGGAACATGACTTACCATGACCACCGTCGGTCGAATGGTTGCTGTAGAGAGGATTGTTGTGGCTTCGCTGGGTTTCGAGCTCCTGGACTCTTCCATAGTAAGGGCTCCGCACAGGCGACAGCCCCCTGACGAGAGGAACATTTCCACCCGGATTCCTCCTCACCGGCGTTACCGACGGCGATGAAGAACTCTTCGTAGGCTTCTGATACGAAGGTCTCTCGGGGTATGACATCTCACCTCACCAGTCCAAAATCTGCTGCTGTTATCTCCTCTCCCTCGCGCCCGCTCCCAGATGACACCCCTCCCAATACATAGACAGACAATCTCTCGACCAAATTCACAGTCCAATCAAACTGCTGGCCACCGTTCTCTCTCTACCAAACCGATGCACTCACTCGCTGACAGACCATGAGCTGCACTGTCACTGATGTAGCAATCTTCTTCAATTCTTCGTCCTCGAGAGGATGGATGCTAGAATTGGGTCGATCGAGAGAGAGAGATCAGTCGGTGCCCTACGTTTCTTCAATCCGCGAGGGCGTACGAAGGTTGGGTGGGGGGACGGGGGAGGGATGGGGTTCATGAGATGGTAGTGTCGATCGGATCGCGTTTGAATTCGAGCATGTGTGGAAACGTCCGTTAGAGGCGTGACAGGAAAAAGCGTTGGCGGAACTGGACAGGAGTGCTGGAGCTAGCCGTTCGGGGAATTCAAATTCCCTGAAGGGCGGGTTCGTGAGTGAAGGTTTTTTTTTTTCGTTTTTTTGTGTTTTGTTTTTTTCTCAATTTTGTTTTACCGCTGCCAGGACCCGACAATACTGCACAGTACAGTTTATGAAATTATTCGTCCACTGCAGGGTCACGTTATAAAGCACCAAGTGACGCATGGTTGGTACGTCACCTCCTCAACCTTCAAACTCTGTTGTATCGGTTGTTTGGATTAATAAGTTGTCTATTTATGAAGAGATAGAACAAATAGGGGAAAAATATAGAGAGCAAATTGTTTGAGAAATCACATCAATTTTACCTTGTATACAACTAAACTATAATATGTGAGCATGAAGACGAGCTTCGGTAGAAGGTGAATCAATAGAGGAGTCCATCAAAGTGCATTCCGGAACGAGGAGGAAAAGGAAACTGACGAACAAAATTTAATAATATAAAGCTCCATAGAGGGGACCAATTAATTTAAATAGGGAAAATGACGTGACTATCCCTCAGGCTGTACACAGAAGACACCACAGGGGTGACACGGGCTAGCAACGAATGAAGAGAGCTCCATATAAAGCTCCACTCACAAATTAGAGATAGATTAAATGTTAACTAGGATTAACATTTAATCCTAGGGAGGTTGAATTGTCTGGTCCGGTTAAGTGAAGAACCCCACTAAGCCGTATCGCGAAAGGCAAGATGAATAAGTATGACCAAAACTAATCACATGCTAGAAACGCAGTAATGGAGTAGAGGTTGAAGCATACCTCATGTTTACTCTAGAGCAGGCCTGTCTAAGTACGGAACATTCCGTATGTTATGTTTTTCTTTAAAATACGTAGCGTTGCAAGAATAAAATATGGAATATACTGCATTTTATTGGATTTGGTAAAACATCGTTCTTCGAATCTGGCGGCAATGTAATATCCCTTCAAGAGAAAAAGTTGTCACATTGGATCGATGAATGTCTTCTTCCCATTTTAAAATAGAAAAATCGCTCTCAACAGTAGCGGTATTAGGAAAAGAAGTTATTAACCCCCCACAGAACTCAGGAAATCGGTCCTTAATGGTTGCGGTTTTACAAGCATCACTAAAATCGGTTTGCTCGTTGTGACGGCTGAAAGCAGTTTGAAGTCTTGGCTCTTTGTTCACAGCATTCAAAAGCTTTTTGTGCTTATCCACAATCAAGTCAATGGAACTTTGAGACCAAAAGGTCGACAGTCGATCGTGGTATTTCAGCACTAAGTGAACGACGTCACGTGTCTTCAAGACAAGCAGCTCGTGGGGTAAACAAGGAGGAATGCCATTGGTACTGGCATAGTTCACTTCGTCCCGTAAAGCTTCCACAGAACTTAGTCCGTTAACCATTGGCGGCAGGATTTCTCCAACAGCCTGCAAAACTTTGGTGCATTCTTCTGGCTGTAACTCAGCAAAAGTGTGACTGGCAAAGATGTCTTGATCTTGAATGAATACAGTAAGGTCTACATGGCTCACCTATGTCTCCCCCATAACGACGACATCATGAGCAGGATGCATGGTGTCATCCATAATCACTTCGACGAAAGCAAAACATTGTAAAGAATTCAGCAATGATTGAACAGCCGCCGCTTGTTGCTACAAGGTGACCCGGCGGCCTTGCAAGCCTTCGACACATTCACTGACGTGGCTCGAAATCTCGCTAACAACCGAAATCAAGATCCAGAAAGCCGGAGTTGGAAGCTGGTCCCAACGGTCGGGCGAGTCGATTTCATCAAAGTATGTCGCAATTTCCGCTCGTTTTTCAACCAGATTTCGAACGACTCGCGACATTGAACCCCATCGAGTTGCAGATAGATTCGGACAAATGGCCTGCATTTCCTCAACCAAGTTCTTCTGCCGCCGCAAGAACGATATAATGGAAGTTAGTGTCTTGTGGAAATCGCACCCGACATTCTTGTACACTTTCTCCATAACGATATCAATCTGATGCACAAGACACCAAAATCGGATAAAGTAAGGCTTCACAACATTTTGAATACGAGTGACAACTCCGGAAAGACGTCCATTCATGTTGGCAGCACCGTCCGTCGAGCAACCAATCAACTTATTCTTCCAAAGAGTACAGATGGTATCAAACACCTTTTGAAACATCTCGAAAGTCGCTAAGCCAGTACGTCGGCCAGCAAATGGGAGAGTGACCAAGTGAAGATTCTCTATACCAGAGCTTTGATGATATCAAACGCGAACATCGACTCAAGAAGTCTGCTGCAGGTCGGTGGAAGCATCAAAAGCCACAGAAAATGCCCATTTACTGCTTAGAGCTTGCGAAATATGCTCGATCAAAATTGCACAAGCAACTCTAGCGTAGGAAGCAACCAGGAAATCATTGCAAACGCCGAGTTTCAGAATGTCACAAACATCCTTTGCATCATGGATTGCATGAGCAGCCATCGCAAACGACATACCACGCCCAACAAAACGAGTAGCTAACAAGAATTGCTTGGACTTGTTGATTTCTACGAGATATCAGCTACCGTCTTCATTCGGTTTAAAAAGAGACATTGTGTTTGCACGTGTCTGCCCTTCCATATCCGTTGGATGCCAAAGCATATCGCCAATCACAACGTCAACGATGCTGCTTCTGACGCTTAACGTGATGGCTGCAGATCTGTTCTCGATATAAGGGCAAATTGTTTCAGCGTGCTTGACAGCTAAATCAAAATATTTCAATTTCTCCTGCTGTGCTAGTCCTTAGTATTCAGCGCATCTAGATTTGTGGTTCAAGTGGAGATGTTGCGTATAATTGTCAGTTCAAAATGGAGGCCTTTTGAATGTTTAGGTCGTTGAGGACTTCTTAGAAGATCCTTTGCGACCAAAACATACACAAAACTGGCAGCAGACAGCAACAACTTCAGAAGTTGTTGGGTTGCGGGCGGTGACAGCCAGCCCATACTGCATTGCGTGCTTCGGCTGGAACGGTGTTTTGCGAGTTGAAGCTTTGCAAGGACGCTTCGCAGCAGGCTCAGTGATGTTCATGAATGCAAGAGGGCAGTAAAATTTACTTAGTAATTTACTTGACCATTTATTGAGTAAATGGTCAAGGGAATGTCGTTGGGAAGTACGGAAATGCGTCACAGAGTTTCAAAATGAGTGAAGGAGAACCTAAATTTTCCAGTAAAAAATGGCATTTTTTGAAAATGAAATACGGAATATACAAATTCTATTTATAGATTTTTGTATTTAGAGAGTACTGTTCTAGAGGGTTGGAAACATGCACTTTTATGAAAGAAAAAAGTTAGCAATACAACGAAGAAGTATAGTGTAGATATCTTCATTATGAAACGGAATGTTATGGAGACTTGGAAGCATGCACTTTTATGAAAGGAAAAAGTAGCAACAAAACGAAGTAGAGCGTAGATATTTTCATTATGAAATACGCTATTGTGTATTACATATTGACTCAAAAGATACATAGCTTATATATTAAAAATCAGAATACACCAACACATATATAGCAACATATAACTTTTTTTCTCTTAAAATATCAGAAGTACATGACATTCATCATCACAACGTAGAATGATCAAATAATAGTTCACCAATTCCATTGTGTGCTGAAATGATGTCATGTTCTTGCAATAGCTACTTTTCATCATAGCCTTGCTTTGTAAGGTTAGAAATGAAAAAGAAATTACATCTTCATCATTGCTAATTTGAACTCTAATATTTGATGTTATAATTTAACTCAAGTCCTGTCTAGCTTAGTTTTGGTTAGTCAAGTTAGTTGGTCCATCACTATATAAGAAAATTGATCAAAACTCTCACCGACACAAATTCAAATTTTAAAAAATAAATTTTTTTTGTAGCCGAATTAATGAATTTTGCAGTCTCTTCATCAATTTTCTGTTTGCATTTTATATTTATTGAATCTTAAATCATAAATATCATTACTTTTTGCACGGTTTTGGTTTCAAAAAATCTCATTTTATCTCCTCTCCGGTATTAATCTCAATTACTGTTTCTTGCAAAATTTATAAACTTTGTGTTCATATGCGTTATTGTTGCCTCTATTTTTATTTTCCGCGGATCAGGATCTGTTACTTGTTAGGTTGGCTCCGTGTGCCGCCTAGTTTGAAGGAGATAGGAGGAAACTACCTTCACTGTATATGATCTTCTTATGTATTTGTGAGTATGTATTTATGATCTTCTTATGTATTTATGATCTTCATGCTGAATGCTTCATGGGAACCAATACAATTCATTTTACCCGATGGAAGCCTTCCGTCAATTTTGTTCTTGTAACTACTTTGTTTCAACTTCAATGAGAAAAATAAAATCTTCTTGAAGTTGAGTTAGTCAGATTTCCCATGGCTTCCAATCTTCATCGTGCAAGAGCTCAATTTCTCACATCCCATGATGATTTTACAGTTATAATGTACGGGCGTAATCTACTTACTCCTTAATTTTTTTTTCTAAGTCGAAGTCACGTAAGTTGCATATTTTGGTCCGTGAAGTGACTGCGGGGAGAAGTAACTTTTCAACAAAGAGCCGCAGTGCTTTTCATAACCCGAACTCAAAACAATTACAATAACTCGTAGTAGAACATCGGAAATAGTGGACTGAACTGCAGTCGGAAGGGTACCATCGGATAATGTAGAACGTATTGGTTCCCCTCAAGACTTACGCATTCTGATGGAGTCCCATGAAGTAATTCTCTCAATTAAAAATTAATATGCGCATAAATTTTCTACAAAATAGATCCGAAGGCTGGAGAGTTCTCTCCGGGAAGGCGTTCCCTTGGGTCTTTCACAGCTAGTTTTGCACTTATCATTGATAGATTTATATATTATACAATGAAGTGTGGGTTATTAGTTTGTACTAATGTTTAATTATATATTAATAAATGAAAAGTTAACTATGTAAATGAAATACAATCGACTATCTACCCAAAAAGAGATAAAATCCTAGAGGCCTATAATGGATGTTCAAATTATAAATAAATAACATTTTTCTGTATGAATTCATCATTCATTTTCAAAAAAAACCTAACTTGTAGATTATGCACAAGATATTACAAATCT